CACACACACACACACACACACACACACACACACACACACTTTCTCTCTCCCTCTCTCATACACACATAGACCAATGCTTCTTGCTCACACTACAGGCACACACTGTTCGCAGAATGCATCACTTGCCTGGGAAAGAAAGAGGGAGGGAGAGCAGTTGGGAAGGAGAGAGGCAGAGAGGGAATGGGCAAAGAGGAGGGGGTAACAGGGAGAAAAGGGGCAAAAACATTAGGAAACTCTTGACTAAATTAGGGCAAAATGCTGTAAACAAAATCATTTATATATATACAGTAAAACACAATATATATCAAATGAAGTCAAAATGTGCCCATCCACAGTTTGCTTTAAGCACAACAGAAAAAAAACATTACATTTTAACGATGGCCTGCAGGTGGTTTCAGTGGTGGGAATCATTGCATCATTGGACACAAAAATATCTCTGCACAAGTTGTAGCTGCAATGTTCACAATTTAATGCCATTGCCGTCACACTCCACTGCTGCTGCTGTTGCTGCTGTGGGCCAACACTGTGGCGACATTAGGACAGCACAAGTGAGTTTGTGTTGGGGGGGGTGGTGAGGGGGGTGTTTGTTCAATCAATCCGATGCAGGGTTTGGCCTTCATGCTTCGTGTTATCTGTGGGTGGTGTCACTGATCAAAAGCTTCCCTGGTCAACTGTGACACAAAGGCAGAGCAAAGTGCCATCTATGCAGATTATGTTTTTTTTTACGGGACATTTTTCCCCATCCACACAAGGAGCACAATAACAACAAAAAATAAACGCATTAACAATTTGACGGCCATAAACATATCTGAATGAGTACGCTGGTGTTTTCAGGTAAAAAGTTGCAACTGCAAAGTTTTTCGTTTGTTGAGGACTTTTAACGTGACACGTGTGAACTGTATGTGATCACATGATTCAACGTATCAGAATCAGAATCAGAATACTTTAATGATCCCCAGGGGGAAATAGCAATTATTACAGCTGCAGCCGTTTAAGTAAGCATCAGAGATAAAGTACAGTATTCGAGCACACAAGGACGAAATAAGTATAAAAACTCTGGAGAACCATGTATTTATGTATAGTATGTATGATACAATGCCATGTATCTTTGCATCAGAAGTAGTTTTTGTGTATGCTCTAATTTCTGGTTAAAGATGTCTGATTGCTTCTCTAAATAATTTAAGTGTGCACTCAGAAAGCTGAACGAGCAAGGTCCTGCTTTGTTGTAAACTTAAGCTAAGTTTTTGTGTCAAACACAAAGTCAGTCAGATTTATTCTTGGTTGGACACAACCTTTCAGATTTTCTCTTACAACAAGGTCACAAGGTTTCTGTTTTGGTTAACTTTATAGTGAAACATCTCCATGTCATTTGTAGATGGGGTACCAAGTTTCACATTTCCAAGGTGTTTCACCTGTTGAACTGATAACTGGTACAAAATGGCGAATAGTGATGAAGAGTCCACATCCTACAATTAACTTGTTTTTACATTTGAATTGTTTTGCACTGATACAGTCGTGGAATATTAAGACAGTTACAGAATGCAAAAAATAACAGTATAAAACCAGATAATAATCAACATTTTGTGCAGTTATCACTAAAGGCTTGAATGTTACAGCTCAAAGAAGCTAATCTTCCAATAAAAGAAAAATGTTCCATGAAATATTTGTGGCAGATCTCTGAATAATTCATTGTAATCTGAAGTCAGTGCTTCGCTTCGTTGTGCTCTTTGGTGTCATCTTTGCTCAACCTGACCCGGCAGCCCCAGGACACCATTTTGTCATAAGGTGGAATTTAAAGGAAGCACTGAAATGAGAAAGTGATGAAAGCAAACAAAAGGCTGAGTGCATTCACACAAGCATACACATGGTTACACATGGTCAAAAGACCATTGAAAAATCTACGCCATCTTCTAGATATTTGACACAAAACAACTGGAAAAGAGCTGAACAACTGTTACGACAAAGCTGGGAGAAAGTTTCATCTTTACTATTTAACACACGTAATTTTTAACACACTATAACCCTACTATACACAGTTGACCACACATTAAAACCATCAACCGGAGAATCTGAAGATTCCCCTGGTTTGGCAAAATCCACGAGTACTTTAGCAGGGATTAAAGCAAAATGTAAAATATTTTCTACACCTAACGCATAAAGAGCCCCTTGGTTGGAAGTTTTTGAGGTCTATAGCCCTAGACTCTTTGTTTCTCTGAAGAACCCTAAAAGTACCCCCAAAATACCAAAAGGAGCCAAATGCCATTGAGGATAGATGTGGTCATATAAGCAATAAATCAATTAATCACACAATGAATTGAAATAATGTTGGTAAATTAAAATGAGGTAAATAATTTTAATTTGCCTGCTTGTTTGTTTTTGTTGCATCGCCCTCTGTTCTACTCCTTCTACTCCTTAGCATAGGGAGGAGTGAACTCCTGCATCAGGTAATTGCCTGGTGCATGGTCTCGTAAACTCTGTAGCATGAGCCCCGCGAACAGGCCTTTAGCTAGAGGAGCATCTTTGGTTTTCCAACATCAGGGTTCCCCCAGGGCAACGTAAGTTTTGTTAACTTCCGTAAACTTTGTAAGCAGTGTGCAGGTGACCGCGATTATTTTATGAAGCCAGAGGAAGAAACATAAACACTGACTAGACTGAGGAATTGCTTTTTCCTGCCTCACCTCTTTACTTTTTGCCTCCTGTTGCCATTCCTTCTCATTTGCATACATCTGGCAGAAGCATTGAAGGCCAACATAAGTGGAGCTTTGCAGTCTGACATGTCACTCCAAAACCTGTCATACATGATTATTTGGTTTGTCATCTGGTGGCTGTAAAGAGCAGCTCATGCTGTCAAAGCCACAACGACATTGTCATGTCACAAGACCACACTCATCTAAACAGAACTGCTTTATCATTACACAAAGGTGAAACTCTGGACCTATGAGCACGTTTCTCTTGGAGAACTGAACCTAAAACAGCTAAACAAATTGTGCAAATTTTAAGTTTATGTACAGGTACTTCCTTTCATTTGAGGAAAACCTTAATTTTGGGACCTTTTAAAAATCCTTCACCTTTCTGCCAGCTTGCGTGTGAGTCTGGCTGCAGGACATTGTACAGCATGTAATCCCATTAACACTGAAGTAAAACCGTGGCAGTTAGCCCATTAGAGGATTTACCAGGTAACTATTTTTAAGTTACTTTGGCCACTCATGTTTTTTAAAGTGAAGAAAACTGATAACACTAAATCCAGCAGTTTGGCCCAATGATCCCATTTTATTATTTATTTCTAAGCCGTCACAGTACAAGTCAACAAGGGTGTTGTATTTTGAAAAGCAACAAATAAAGCATTTTGTTAAAAGAGCACATTTAAGTATCTGTGAAATGTACTTAATAATGTTTGTGCAAAAATTTTCACAACACACCATTACAAACCGTACATAAAGGAAATATAAAATAACATCATAAAACAACTGAAGCTGGGACCTTAGATGGGTTGCCGATAAGCAATAATGACTCCCCAAGACAGTTTGAAATGGCCAGGGAGGAATTTCATTCTACTTGCATCATAAAAGCATCCCAACTTTTAGGCAAAAGCACTTGAAAAGAAAAAAGTCACTTGTTTTTATGTAAAAAAAGAAAAAAAGGACCTGTGGTAAGATGCACTAATTTATTGAGTTTGTTGAAATCTATTTGACATTTCACGGATCTCAAGGCCTTAATGGCTACTACCCTGAAAGGCAGGTGAACCTGCAATTGCCCTATGTTCTTCTGTCTTTCTGTTTGCTAGCAAAATATCTCAAGAACCAGGGGACGGATTTCAATGAAACTCCCAGAAAATCTCTGAATGTACATTAACAACTAATGTTTTGAGTCAGCCCAAGTAATATGGTCACTGCAGTAAATCAACTTTAGCAAACACAAAAATTGTTATAACCAAGTTAGAAGTATTTAGGTAAGTGTCAAGGTGGCTTGGTCAAGTTGTAGTCAACGTGCAATCAGAATATCAAAGTTTTGATCCAACTTGGGTAAGACATCGGGTCCCTTTTTTACTTTATTGGTGTAAAGTGTAAAATGCATAATATAAAGCAATGTGTGTAAATTGGTAGTAGTGGGCATATTGATCATATTGTATTGGTATTATCGATATCAAGAAAAGTATCGGATTGGATCGATTCTAGCATGATGATGAAGAAATTTATTGGTGTTTGCTTATATTGATATTAATTACATACGACACATGGTATGGTCTTATTATTAGGAAAACTGTAATATCTGTTAAATGTGATTATTTTGCTTAAATTGATGATTTTCTATAGATACGTGCCTGAACACAAATTCAACACATTACTGAACACTTAATCTTCATTAGGTCAGTCAGATTATTTTTGTCTGAGGGCATGGCTCCAGCACTGGACCCCTTCCTGATGACATAATAAAATAGGTGGAGTCATGTCCTGACCATCCTGTTATATTGAACGGACTTCCGTAAAACGGGGCCTGAACGCGGACCAATAAACTGCCTTCAGACTGAGTTGCTCTGTGTGGGTTGTATGAACTCTTTCACATTCAATTCCCATGCATTGGTACATTTTCGGTGTGTTCAAGCACATAAAATGGTAAACAAACACGCTTAACAATGTTTCGTTTCAATGACACTGATTTTTTTGTTTACAATTTATCTGCACTACTGACCTTATTTTTCCCAAATAAAGTAAAAAGTAGTCAGTATTGAAGAACTAGTGACTTTTTAAAAATAATTGTGTGCAGTGGAAAGTAATAGGGAAATTGTTCCATAATTTTCTTTTATTTTGTTGAAATTGGTTAATGCAAAACATTTTTATGTGCCTGAAATATTTTTCCTGTATTTTATCATAATCAACTAACTAAATGTAAAATTACTCAGTGAACATGAGAAGGCTCAGCCAAAAGGCGAAGCACTCGATTTAGCATTCGGTCTACGTTCCCACCCTCATCTATGGTCACGAAC